ATGCACTGTTAGTTGTTTAAATTATATAGTTAGTAACTTGTTATAATTAATAGTAGCATTTCTTATGGTTAGGTTGTCCAAGTGGCTTCATTGTTGACTCCTAACCAATTTGAAGCAGAACTGTTGACTAAATTGAGGTATTTTCATATTATATAATAAAAAAGTTGAAGCTCATTTGTTTTTGTTCTAAAATTCCCTTTGATGTAAACAATAATGTTGTTTCCTTTTAGTTTATTTTTTCTGGGGAACCTTTTGGGACTTGGATAGTTGCATGTAGAAGGTAAAACTGTTTATATCTAATAAAATTGAAATTAAAGATCTCCAAAACATGGATTCTCAAGCCTTCTATTTTTAAAAGAACCAGGTTTTTTAATGTTCTATTTGTTTATGAGCATCAGTATGATTTCGAGGAGGATTGCTTGGTTCATCTTCTCGTTAAATGGTGCAAAAAAAAAAAAAATGATACCATTAGGGAGTGTGATGACTTTTACGACCTAGAGTCAGAGATTGTGAATCGCTGATTATTGTTCATTGGGATGTCAACAGAAGAGTTTCTGATATCATCATTTACTAACTAGATCTTTCAAATGAAATTTCATCTTTATAAACCATGAGATTAAGTGTCATGCTTTATAACAAATGGTTCTTCGGTTTTCAGGTTTGAATAAATTAATAGGATACAAAACAAGCAGTTCTTTCATGCTGCTTGATTGTAACCTTCCGGATTTAAATTGTATCATTTTTGTTGTTGTTATTTTTATATACATATTTTTTCCATTTTGATAATGTCTAATTTAAAAACCACCATTCAAAGCTGACTCAGGATATTTATTTCATGTAATGCAAATGAATAGATTGTTATTGAGAAAAATGAACATAAACAAAATCATAGGATATTCGGATCAAACCATATTTTTGAAATATTTTGAAGGATAATAAAGGAATGTTAATAATTTCATTTACATTTCTTAAATTAGAAGAATCTAACATAGACCATTGAATTTAAGTTGATTTTCCATGATGTGTATTTTCGCATAGTTTTTCAAGCTCTTCGAGGGAAAAAACTTTATGTTAAGTTGTTTAAGTACGAATTCTGGTTGTCTGAAGTGACATTCCTTGGCCACATAATTTCAGTAGAGAGGATCAGAGTAGATTCCAAGAAAGTATAGGTTATTGTTGAATGGAAAACTCTAAAGAATTGTTAGACCGGGGTTCATAAGATTAAGTATATCATATTAGAGAGCCTCGATATTATCTGTAAATATAAGGATGTACCAATTGTTTGGTCTGATAAATATCAAGAAAGCTTCGAGATAATAAAGAAGATATTAACAGAAGCCCAATGCTAGTACAACCAAAATGGGGCAAACATTATATGATCTATAGCAATGCATCTCATAATGGTTTGAGATGTGTTCTTATATAGTAAGGAAAAGTTGGGGCCTACGGTTTGAGACAATTTAAGATGCATGAGAAGGAACTATTCGACTCATGATCTAAAATTGGCAGCAATTGTATTCTCTTTGAAGATATGACACCATTATTTATATGGTGAACGATATTATATTTGTACTGATCATAAAAGTTTAAAGTATTTGTTAACTCAAAAGGAGATGAAGCTAAGGCAAAGAAGACGGATTGTACTTCTCAAAGATTATTATGTGGTCATTGACTATTATCTAGGGAAGGCTAATAGGGTAGTTGATGCATTAAGTCAAAAAACATTTGTTACCTTAAGAACGTTGGATGCGTGACTATCAATAAAAAAAGATGGCACGCTGATTACTAAATGGAGTTGAAGTCTATTATACTATATCAAATAAAAGATCTTCAAAGGAAGGATGAAAGCTATAACTGGGTTTATTTCTAGATGCCTGATAGGCCAGCAAATTAAAAATAGAGAATCAAGTGTCATCTCGGTTGTTGCAACCTATTTCCATTTCTCAATAGAAATGGGAAAGAGTTGTAATGGATATTGTTGTAGTATTTATTTTTAGACTCAACCGAAAATGATTCAATGTGGGTGATTGTGAATAGATTGATTAAGTTAACACATTTCATTTTGGTTCAAACTTAAAGATCGGGACATAGTCAGCCCTGATCTAATTAAGGAAGTTGAAGACAAAGTAAAGATTATACAAGATAATCTTCAAATTGCTACCGATTGACAAAATTCGTATTCAGATTTGAAAGGAGAAGAGATTTAGAATCAAGTTAAGGACAAAGTATTTCTCAAAGTATCATCGTGGAAGAAAGTATTGTGAATTGAGTCAAAAAGAAAAACTAAGTCTAAAATTTATTGGTCCTTATAAGATTGTGAAAGGAATTGGTTCAATGACCTATCAGTTGACACTACCTTCGGAGTTGGATAAGATTCACAATGTATTAGATGTATTGATGTTAAAAAATATTGATTGAATTCTTCTCATATTATCACATCGGAAAATATTGAAATTTGACTGGTTTTGATTTACAAGGAAGAACCAATAAAGATATTAGAATATGAAGTCAAATGACTGAGGAACAAGATTATACCACTTGATAAAGTACTTTGGAGAAATAATAAAGTCTAGAAAGCTATATAGGAAAGCGAGAGATAAGATGAAAAAAAGTTTCATCTTTTTGGATCAAGAACATGTTGAAAATTTGAGGACGAATTTTTGCAAGGAGAGACAATTGTAATATCCCAAATTTTGGCTAGTAACCAAAGTGTAAACTCAAGAAAAGTTTAAGGACCAAAGTGGTAATTTTCTCGGAAAGAAATTTTATCCGGTAAATGAATAGTTTACCCCCAATAATGATTCTTTCATGGGTTTCATATTTTTGATCCAAAATTTGTATTAAAAACTATAAAGCGATAAAGTCTGATAAAAATTTGGATAATCGAATAATAAAGGAAGGTTAATAATGTCATTTTCATGTATTAAATTAGAATAATTTAACATGGACCGTTGAATTTAAGTTGATTTTCCATGTTAAACATGGACCGTTTGATGAAAAATGGCAAGATTATAATTTTAGAAAAGTACAAGGGTAAAGTTAGAAGTTATTTTGGTTTAATTTTGACCACATGATGAGTATTTTTGACATGTTGCATCGTAATTATCCTGAGAATTTAAGGGCAAAATGGTCATTTAACCTTAAAATTAATTTTTAATTCATTTTAGCCCTTAAAATGAGCAATGGCTTATGATATTTTTAAATTATTTTCAATAACTCTTCTCCTCCAATACTCCATTTCCGCGAGCTTCCCCTTAATAAAAAAATTTCTTTTTGATTTTTCAAGCCAATTTTATTAGATTTTTGGATAAAAGAATGAAATAGGAAATTAACCTATATGAAATTCTCTATCTTTTGGTGTAATTTATTCATGCTTTACTTGCTTAAATCCCTTGTTTAATGAATAGGGTGGATGAAGGGGAGGTTGGATTTTCATGTTTTTGATATTTCTTGTGGGCTTGTATATTTTATATGTGTTATGTCTGCTCTAATATGAATAGTTTTAAAACGGGTTTGTAGTATTATATATAATAGTTGACTTAAAATGAATACTATTAGGTATAATGGAAATTTACATGATTAGTATTTTATAAAATTATATTTTTAATGAAATTTAGATGAATTTTTAATTAGGCAGTTTTTAGATAATTTCACTTAAGATATGATATAGTATTGAATTGTCATATTGCTACCTGAAATCGAAATTGATTTGAGTGTTAATATTATTTTTGGTTTTATGCGATTAATTATTTTTAATGGTTGATATTAAATTTGATGATTTTAAAAAAACTAAAATTTTATCATTTTTCAAACAATATGTATTTTAAATGTTTGATGTGACATCTATGACTCATATTTGAGTATCGATATGAGAAATGAGTATTATATTAAAAATCTTTAAGCTAATATTATATTGTATTTACTTCAGATTTATAAAATCACACTTCAATTCTAGATTTTGATTTCAATGAAAATTTGAATGGACTTCAATTTTTCCGATCAAGAGCTAATCTATGAATATTTTCTTTTAATTTATTCATATTTTATCGTAATAATTCAATTTCAACGTTAAATAGAATCAAATTATTAAAATTAATATCACATATTGACTGTGACTGTTTGTTTCGAAGAATCAGCAAGAAAACAATGGAAACCAGAAGCTGATATTTGAATGACTGGTAGATGTGGTAAAGGTTCCAATAAACCAACCGGTCCAAACATGGAACTGAGCCACTCACCGAGTTGCAAACTGCCATGCATGCAAAGCACTGAATTGGATGAAACAACCGAATAAGGGTTTAAGCTGAAGAATGAATTGGATGAAACGCTGAATTGCATGCCAAACATGGAACTGAGTCACTCAAAATTATCTAGAGTTATTTTTTTCTTTATTTTATGATTTTGTAGTCATTTATAGGAGTTATTTTTTTTCTAATTATGATAGAAAAATTTGTGTTCAAGCTTGATGATTGTGTTTTGGTATTCATGGGTAAAGAATGATATTATTATATCTGCGAAGGATTAATTTTGACTGAAGAGAAATTATTTTTTTCAAACGTTAAGATCGTACGATGTATATCGTATCCATTTGTTAGATTCGATGATGAATCTTTCCAAAGAAAAAAGAGAATGATGGAAGCACCAAATTTTAAATTCAATAGACATGAAAGATGACCATGAAGCTCATTTAAGTATAAATTATGTTGGTATTATACATCATGTTGTGTTTTATTAAATTTTTAGAAGTAGATGAAGGCTAACAATGGCCTCACTCTCTCCTCTTCTAAATTTTCTAATACCGTGTTTGAATACATCACTATGTAATTGTATGAAAATATAGTTACTATCATAATAATTACACGAGAATGTAGCTATATGAAATGGGAAGCTTTGTGGGTAGGTAAGAAAGAGACGCAAACTTAAATATAAACAGCTTCACGTACGTACGTAGCCTGAAAATCAAACACCTTATCCATATACATTACATCGTAACAAGAACTAGTTGTCGCTTGAGCCACCTAAATTCTTAAAACCACCAGTCCAAGTCAACCCTAAATGCTCTCCTATATCTATCACCCCACATGTGTTTTCCGATGGCCTTCTCCATTTTCCCCCACTTTCTCAGGAGTGTTGGTTGCACAGAAAGTGAAGATTACTTTTCCTTTTGACTTTGGAAATCCGATGAGAAAACCCTGCTGTGACAAACAAGGCACCAACAAGGGAGCCTGGTCCAAGCAAGAAGATCAAAAGCTCATTGATTATATACGTACCCATGGTGAAGGCTGCTGGCGTTCCATCTCCGAAGCTGCAGGTTCTTTTATTCGCCTCTATAAATCAAGTAAAAAAGTGAGTTGTTGATTTTTTAAACTAGCTTTTCATCCATGAAAATCACCAGGTCTGCACCGTTGCGGCAAAAGTTGCAGGCTGAGATGGATAAATTACTTGAGACCAGATATCAAACGAGGAAACTTTGCTCAAGACGAAGAGGAGTTGATTATCAAACTCCACGCTCTTCTTGGTAACCGGTATCATTCATTTCCGATACACATGTATTTCGAGTGGATTATGTTCCACTAAATATAAAATCATGCGTATTCATGTGTCTGACTAGGGGTTATTGGCTGTTAGGTGGGCATTGATAGCAGGTAGATTGCCAGGAAGAACGGATAATGAGGTGAAGAACTATTGGAATTCCCATATAAAGAGAAAGCTGGTAAAAATGGGGATCGATCCCAATAACCATAAGTTGAACCAATATCCAATAGGTCCTCAAACTCAGCATGTTGTTCCTCCCAGGAATGTGGCATGTAAGCTTAGAGTGTCTTCAACGGACAATGATGGTGTCTCGGATGCTGCAAGTTATCTCAAAGACGAAACACTAGCCGCCGGTGAATCGAACTTGGATCTGGATCTTTCAATCGCAGTTCCTTCGAGTCCTATCAAGAATATTGAAGAAAACCAGAAGAAAACAGATCCCACCCTTCTTCTTTTTAGATGAGAAAAAACCCTACAAGGATGTGGACTAGTAAAAGACTAGATAACAAGTTTATCTGAATTCTGAGAAAAAGGATCGTAGATGTGATCTGTTGAACTGTATTATTGTGTATAATTTAGTAGAAAGAAACAAAGATTTCAACTTAGAAGAATGAATTGCAGATAAGTCCTTTGAAAAATGATGATTAAATTTGTGTATTAGCAAAGAACCATATATTATTCATCTCACTAAAACTAAAAGTATTTAAAGATAATCATCTGTTTTGTCAAAAGAAAGGATAATCATCTGACAAATAATAAATCAAGTATAAATTGTTTTTCAAATTATATATATATATATAGCAGAAAATAGGCTATGTTGGCTGCTAATGTGTCCCTTTCATGGATGTTGGAAGTGCTGGAACAAATGATCTATTGAAAATGGAGTTTGAGCTTTCTTACAAATAATGGAGCATTTGATTTCATTGAACTCATCATGAAAGAGGTCAGGTTTGAGGAGTAAGTCATTCTAATTTCACATGCAACTGTTAAACCACTCCACTACAATTCATCTGCATAACCTATTTTTGTTATTAAAAACTAACAAAATCACATCCGAACAAGTCGAGTGTAATTAACCCCTTTTAAGTCGCCATCAAACAATTTTTTATTATTAATTTGGAGTAAGAATAAAGTAATATCTGTTAAAGGTATCTCTCAATCTTTTTATATTGAACGGTCACATCTTAATATTTTTTGTGTTCGAATCCAAGACCTAAAGAAATAACAACAATTTTTTTACCACTGAGTTCGTCCGGTGGTGCTCATCATCAAACAACTTGAGTATTGCATTTAGAACCCCTAATCCAGTGTAACCAGCAGCATAACTTGTAATCAATGTCACCATAAGATCAACAATTACGTTTATATGTATATATATATAAAGCATTTAGTTTTATTAAAAGTATAAAATATTCAAAATTACAATAAAGATTTATTGGTATAATCGTAACAGTAACCGTAAATTAAAAATAGAAAATAATTATTCACACAAATACTAACCACCGGGATTACACAATGACCAAAGAAAGAAAATATTCAAAAACCTAACTAAAATGCTCAAACAAAATAAAGATACGAACAAATCTGACTGTATCGGCAAACAAACCACAAAAGGGGATGAAGCTACTGAAAGATCACTGCAAATTGCAAATTAGAGTCAAACGACGTGAGAAAACTATCTACACGCGCAAAATACATATCTAAATTAATCGATGGTCCAGAGCAGGGAAGATTAATATGATAACAAATAAGCATCATTTTGATCAGTCGTGACGATGTCAAATCCAACCATAACAAAAAAAGATAAACGAAAATAACAGTCAAATGATAAAAAACTACCAAAAGATAGATATAACGTATTACAAATGTAGAATTATTATTATTAAACAAACTAAAAAAATAAAGAAAAAATTAATCGACGATCAACAATCAACATCAAAATCGATATCGTTGTCAACTAAAAAAATATTAAAAAAAAACTTATTTGACTTATAAAAAATAACACAAATCGTAAAGCAATACGTTGTATTCGCATATTTCTCAATTTTTACAACATTATTTTCTCCGTACATGAAATTTCTAAATAATTGTGTACGAAGATTGTACTTCTGAAGACAAGTACTTGAACGAAAGCACTTGCGTAACCTAATTTTTTTTTTTTTTGACAGGAAGTTAATATTACTTTTAGGTTTATTGGATGAAGTTTAGTTTAGTTTGAAACTGAATGTGAAATTGCAACTACTTGGTCCTCCTAACACCTAACCTCTTCCACGTTCAGGTTATTTGATATTCATGGAACAATCTTCCTTATGAAGTTCATATGTGTTGCGGAATACGATTATTAGATAGAGTAAAATCGTAATTAATAATTTGATAAAATAAAAATGAAGATAAAGAATACACAAATTTTACGTGGAAAACCCTTAAATAATATAGGGTAAAAACCACTAGCAAAGATAGAATAATTTTACTATGAGAAAATAAAAATTACAACTTCTCTCGATCTAACAAGGATAAAACAATGACAATTCTCTCCTGTTAAAAAGGAGAAAACAATTCTCAAGAAAACTCTAATTTCTCTAGTATTGGGAGAAAGCTAGAATGATATGGGATGATTTTGAAGCTAAATGAGTTAGGGTATTTATAGTTAAAGCTTAAGGACTAATCATGCAAATATCATAAAGTACTGGGACTAAATTAGGTAATTTTCCCTTGCCAATTTTCAACCAAAATCAGTTGCCAATCTTGGACCACCGAATCAGTCGTGAATTGTTGAAAATTCACTCTGCAGCCAATTTTGACTTTCAACAATATCTCACTTGAAGATTTAATTGGAACAATCATATCTTCACACCATTCTTTCTACCTTATACCTCTTTGTTGTATTCCAAAGCTCTTTGCATGGATTTGTCATGTATCGACTAATCACTCCCACTGCTTGTGCAATGTATGGTCTTGTGCATATCATAGCGAACATTAAACTTCCCATTGTTGATGCATACGGTACTCGAGACATCTTCATCCTCTCTTCTTCACTGCTAGGACTCATACTGGATGATAATTTGAAGTTAATAGGAAGAGGGGTAGAAATTGGCTTACAATCTTGCATGTTGAATCGTGACAAGATCTTCTTAAAGTAATTCTTTTGTGAAAGCCAAATCTTCCTATTACTCCTGTCTCGGTGAATTTGCATCCCTAGAATCTTTGCTAATCTCAAGTCATTAATTTCAAATTCACTAGCCAGTTGTGCATTCAATTCTTCAATATGATCTTTATTGGGTTCTGCAACCAACATGTCATCCACATACAACAGCAATATAGCAAAATCATTATCACCAAACCTCTTAAAATAAGCACAAGGGTCTGCATTAAGTTTGTTGTATCCAATGCACATAATGAAGGAATCAAATCTCTTATACCGATACATCGGCGTCTGCTTTAGACCGTACAGAGATATGTTCAACCTGCAAACCAAGTTCTTCTTTTCTTTTTATTCAAAACCTTAAGTCTTGAGCATATAAATCTCTTCTTCAAGATTTCCATGAAGAAAAGTTATTTTAACATCTAGCTGCTCTAGATGTAAGTTTAATGTAGCACACATTGCCAAAACTACTCGAACTGTTGTTAGTCGAACCACATGAGAAAATATTTCATTGAAAACAATACCTTCTTTTTGAGCATATCCTTTGACCATCAGTCTTGCACGATACCTCTCAACTTGATCGTTACCATTTCGCTTGATTTTAAAGACCCATTTGTTACCAATTGGCTTCCTTCCTTGTGGTAGTGGCACAAGGTCTCATGTATTATTTTTATGAAGGGCTTCAATTTCTTCTTGCATCGCCATCATCTACAGTGAAGCATCTAAGTTGTTTATTGCCTCCTGAAATGTTGATGGCTCACCGTCCTCTGTTAAAAGGCAGTATGCAATATTTCTTCTATAACATAATCTGAGTGCCAATTGTGACGTTTTTTCACATGATTTGATTGACGAGTTGTTGGAGCTTCATAACTCTCTGGTTCTTGTTCATCATGTGCAGATGTGCTGGTTCTGATTCAGAATAATCTCTTTGTTCAAACTACTTTTCCACATATATTTGTGTAGTCTCTGACTTTTCAGTGCTATCATCTTCTTCTTTTCTTTTTAGTTTTTCTTCTACAAATATAACATCCCTGCTGATGATCACTTTACGGGCAGTGGGATCCCACAAGCGATACCCCTTTACTCCATTAGCATACCTCAAGAATTTGCATTTCCTAGATTTTTTGATCACATATCTCCTTAGTTGTCTTATTCTCCTTAATGCTTGACAATACTTCATCTACTAATGCTAGATAAAGGTTTGCCATAGCATTCCCATCTATATCGTTCCATTTGTTGTCTTCTGTGAAATCTATCGACCTTTCACTGATAGCTGTTAGACAAACATCTTTCCTCAGGGTGACCTTCATCTTCAATTTTCACAATGAGAAATTTCTCCATTGAACTTTTCAATATCAAATTTCATTGTCATTGCTTCTATTACAGATAACTCCCACTATTTTACTATCGTGAATAGTTCTATGGCACCTTTAAAGAATGGGTAATACTTTCTTACTTTCTTATGTTGGATGATCCACCTTTTGGTGGCAACCACAAAAACAATAAGTATATATTACACACTCAAATATGGCTCTGATACCAATTGTTCCGGAATACAGCTATCGGATAGAGAAAAATCGCAGCTGATAATTTGATAAAATAAAAATAAAGATAAAGAAGACACAAATTTTATGTGAAAAAACCCTAAATAATATAGGGTAAAAACCACAGGCAAAGATAGAAGAATTTCACTATGAAAAAATATAAATTACAACTTCTCTTGATCTAACAAGAGAAAACAATGACAATTCTCTCTTGATAAAAAGGAGAAAATAATTCTCAAGAAAACTCTCTAATTTCTCTAGTATTGGGAGAAAACTAGAATGATATGAGATGATTTTGAAGCTAAATAGGTTAGGGTATTTATAGTTGAAGCTTAATGACTAATCTTGTAAATACCCTAAAGTATATGAACTAAATTAGGTAATTTTCCCTTGTCAATTTTCAACCAAAATCAATTGCCAATCTTAGATCACCGAATCAGCCGTGAATTGTTGAAAATTCACTCTGTAGTCAATTTTGACTTTCAACAATATGATCATATATATTATTCATTTAATTAAATTTAGAAGGTAACGGTTAGGATATTGCAAAAAAACCCAATCCGATCGATCCGATCTGAAAATTCAGATATCCGATCCGTTTTTCAATTTTCGGATAGTCTGGGTCGGGTATCCGAATTTTTTTCCGAATTTTCGAATCGGATACAGATCGATCAAAATCCAATTTCGGATTATCTGAAAATCCGAAAAAAATTAAGGCTATTTTCTAGTGAATTCGAGCAAAGAGGGGCCGATATTGTAAATTGACACAAAATCAAAATAATTTATCCATTCAGCTACACCATTAAACCCAATAAAACAACGATTATATAGAAACCAAATCTAGTGAATTCGAGCATTAAGATGCTTTCAAATAAAAATAAGAAAGTATAAATAACACAAAAGGAAAACTGAAATAGAA